TCACACATGTATTGACTTACTACACTGACAGCAAAAGCAATATCTGGCCCTGTACGGGATAAATAAATCAGTTTCCCAACCAATTTCTGATATCTGTCTTTATCAATGGTTTCTTCTTTCTCCTTGTCTTCTTCTTCAACTTCATTATCAGAGTTGTCTTCTCCTTCTAACTCCTCAGTGCCACTTTTCTTAGGTGGCTTCTTCTTTTTCAAGACCACAATAGGAGTTTCCTCAGGTTTACAACCCAACATGCCAGTTTCCCCGAGAAGATCAAATATATACTTCCTCTGAGATACATATATTCCTCATTTTGACTTAGCAACTTCCATCTTGAGAAAATATTTCAAGTTCCAAGATCTTTAACTCCAAATTCCTTACCAAGGACAGTTTTTATCCTTGCTATTTCATCAACATGATCTCCTGTAAGGATTGTATCATCAACGTACACAATAAGGATGTACTTCCTAGCTCCCTCAACCTTAACAAACATCATATGATCTGGCAATCCTTGCTTGTAGCCTTCTAACTTCAGGACCTTTGAGAATCTGTCAAACCATGCCCTAGGTGACTGTTTCAAGCCATATAGTGATTTTTTCAAAAGGCATACTTTGTCATTTCTGCCTCCATCAAAACCAGGAGGTAAAGTCATGTAGACTTCTTCCTTCAATTCTCCATTTAGAAAAGCATTTTTGATATCTAGTTGATGAAGATGCCATTCAAGGTTGGCTGCCACTGACACTAGAATTCTTATAGTGTTCATTTTTGCCACTAGCGCAAACGTCTCTTTGTAGTCTATGCCATAAGTGTGGGTGAAACCTCTTGCTACTAACCATGCTTTCAACTTGTTAAGTGTGTTATCAGCCTTATACTTTGGGGTAAAGACCCACTTGCAACTAACCAATTTCTTACCTCTAGGTCTTTCAACAATCTCCCATGTTTCATTTTTCTCCAAAGCTCTCATTTCCTCCATAACTGCATTTTTCCATTCTGGTATTTCCAATGTCTCTTAGATGTTGTTAGGAATAACAACTTTATCCAAATTAGTGATGAAGGCTCGGTAACTAGGTGAGAGAGCCTTGTAGGACACATGCTTCTAAATCGGATGCAAAGTACAAGACCGAGCTTGTTTCCAAAGGGCAATGGGTAGATCAAGATCAGTAGATTCACTTCTTTGTTCTGAGTCATCTGGCTTACTAGATGGATCAATCCTTGGTATGTCAGCTTCAAGGACTACCTCTGGTTCTGACTCTCTTGATGCCTCAGGTACAAGTTGCTTACTATCTTTTGTTTTCTTCTTTTAAGTGTAAACTAACAACTCCCCTTTTTGTGGTCTTTCCACATCTTCATCTGTTTTCTTGTTTTCCTCAAACTTTGGCATAAAAGAAGAGTTTGGTGAAGGTGGGATGTTGGACAGAGGTAAAGGTGATGGTTTTGGTAAAGGGACATGGACTCAAGAAGTATATATTCAGCATTAGGTTCTAGTTCCCAAGTCTGAGATTCAACTGTATTCTCCCCTTGAATTGAGGAATTGGAATAAAAAGGAGGTTCTTCATGGAAAGTAACATTGAGGCTTACACGGATGCATTTAGAAACAGGATCAAAGCATTTATATCCTCTTTGAGTAGGAGAATAGCCAAAGAAGATACACTTGATAGCTCGAGGTTCAAGTTTACTGCTTTGGTGGATATAAACAAAGGTTGTGCACCCAAACACACGAAGTGGAAGTTTGGTTTCAATGTGGGATGTAGGAAAAACACTGCAATTTATGGAGAGGAGTTTCGAAGGCTAATATTCGACTGGACATTTGGTTGATGAGATAAGTTGTGGTTAAAATGGCATCTCCCCAATAAAACTTTGGCACGTTGCAAGTGAACATGAGTGTTCTTGCAACTTCAAGGATATGTCTATTTTTTCTTTCTGCGACCCCATTTTGTTAGGGTGTATAGGCACACGTACTAGTATGGACAATCCCATGCAGTTGGAGAAAATTACTTAAAGATTGGTTGAAGTATTCAGTGCCATTATCAGTGTGTAAAACTCAAATGCTAGTGTTGAATTGGTTTTTGATCATGGTGAAAAAGCTCATGAATGTGGATGCAGCCTCAGACTTGTTTTTCAAAAGGTAAACCCAGCAAACAAGAGTATGGTCATCAATGAAAGAGATGAACCATTTTGTTTGAGTATGGTTTGAAATGTGAGATGGTCCCCATAAATTACTGTGGATGATTGTGAAAGGTTCGATAGGTGTGTATTTGGCTCTAGGAAAGGAAGTTCGATGGTGTTTGGCAAGTTCACATACCTCACACTAGATTTCACTATGATTCAAGGTCGGACATAAGGTTGGAAACAACCGCTGAAGGTAATGAAAATTAGGGTGACCCATTCTCTTATGCCATAACATGAAATCATGAACTTTAGAGGTAGATGTAGAATTACCAATAATAGGTGGGTTATCCACTCGAGTGACGATCTCTAAATAGTAGAGCCCCTCATATTCTTTGGCATTGCCGATTGTCGCACCAGATGATAGATCCTGAAACACACAATGTGACAGGAGAAATTTAGCAAAACAATTTGAGTGCCTGGTCAGCTAACTGATTGAAAGTAAATTATAGTCAAGTTTTGGCACGTGAAGGACAGATTCCTAAATAATAGAATCTGATATATGGATACTCCCTTTTCCTGCCATTGGTGCTAAGGAGCCGTCTACAATTTTCACTTTAATATTTCCAGCACATGGGGTGTAGGTGGTGAACAATTGATGACAATTAATCATATGATCAGATGCCCCGGAATCCACGATCCAAACCACTGCACTTCGAGTCGTCTTTAAAGCCTGAAGAAAAGACCCTCTTTTTGCCACAAATGCCATAGGTGCAGATCTGGAATTAAGCACAACACTACATAAAAGTAGCCACATCACCATTCCTAGCACTTCAAATGAGGGTAAAACTTTCTAGTAGACTGAAAATAGAAGCCACAACCCAATATAACTCAAAACCCAACAAAACAGAGCACTAACAACACCATACGACCTGATATGGCTCGAAGACGATGTGCCCATACACCGGATTGTGTTGGATCTAGCCGGAGAGTGTTGTTGCTGTCCGAGAAGATCGCGTCCTAAACGGAGCCTCCACGCGCCGCCAGAAGCTTGCTGACGCAGTGAGCAGGGGTGACGTGTGTGGTCTACACACATTGCCGTTCGCCATCACCATCCTGGGTTTCGCCTTTTGGAGCCTCCTGAGTACGTCTAGGGTGGCGGTGAGATTCAAAACTCGCTCCACCATTATCCACACAAACGCCGTCACGTACTGTTCAGGCGGCCTCTTTGTAGCCAGTCCAGAACTAATTTAATTTGAAATTTTGAGCCTGATGCTCTAATACCATGTGGAACTTTCAGAGAGGAGAAATTGTATTATCTCATTTCATTTCTGATGTACAAACTGGTCCTATATATATACATCAAGAGAGATAAAAGCTAATAAATACTAATCAAGCCTAATTAATGATCCTAATAAATGCTAATTATTCACAATAATGACATAATATTCCCACAGTAACTCTCGTTTTTTCTCTTTTCACATCAAATAAGATTTGAACCCTTTTTCATCTGGATAGAGAGGAATCAACACTTAGACAGACAACTCCTAAAAATAGTAGTAAAAAAAATTATTATTTTTGGAAATTTTTCCTCCTAGTTTTCTCTTCTCCTGATTTTCAAGATACATTTTCCTCCATCCAAACCAAGCGTAGATATTTACTCATACCCCATCACCCTTCCCACCTGAGCTAGCTAAGGTAGCCTAGAGTAATATGACTATTTAATGTATGGTTTAAACAAAACACAACACACGAACCAGTTTGGTTCTATTGAAAGACATTCAGCAAATAGCCAATAAACCACACCATTCAATAGTTTGCTTTTCCTGTCTTATTTGTCCTGTGACTGAAAAGATGTTTGAGTGCTACATTTTGGGACTTTTTAACCAAAACAATGTCAATTTGATAATTTTTAATAAATAAAATATTAAATATGTGTAACATTTTGTTTTATTTTTTTATTGCTAATGTTACTGTAATTACCAATATCTCAATGCTATACAATAAAAGAACAAGTGAATTTTGTTCCCTTGTCATTTTACTATTCATCAACATGACATCATATCAATATATTATCCTATATAAAACATATCATTCGATTACTCTTATGTAATATGTAATTATAAGAAATCAATATATATATATATATATAGACAACAACCATTCCCAGACAGCATTCTATAACAAACCATTCTTGAAAAACCACGACACTCCTAAAACCAAAAAAGCTAAGCAAACAAAGCTACCCAATAATTAGAAGATCAAGTAATATTATTTTATGAAATATACGTATAAAACAAGCTGAAATCACAATGGCTGAAGGAAAAGCAAAATACAATGTTACAAGCATATAGAGAAAAGTTATTACCACGTGATGCCAAAGAAGCTCTAAGATCATCAAAATTGACTCCTACAGAGTAGGGATCCCTGAACAAAGGAAATTTGGTTATACAAAGCATAACACAACCATACGTTTTTTCATCTTCTTGAAATAGACTGAAGTCAGAATGACATGACCTCCAAGTGAACTAGATATGCTATTTCTGAAGATGATATTATAAACTGTTTTTCTTTCATTTTTTAATTTAGTGGGAAAAACTGCAACTTCTTGAACTACAGATACGTAAATTTTTTTGTTAAATTCTCTCTGCATGTATGAAAGGACAAGTTTAGCATTAAAATGGACAACGCTTGGAATGAATCTGCCGCAATTATTAATATTTATTTAAAACTAAAAAGAAAGGAAGCTATTTATTTTTTAGAAGGATGACATCATACCAGCTTGAGGGACCCCCAATGAAATCTTGTGAGACTCCATCCTTGATGTTACTTTGTACTTTTGATGATGTGGCATCACATTCCATGAAACTTCCCTCGTCCTTTGGCTTCAATTGGTCTAAACAACCACCATACTCCTTAGCATCTGACTGGCTTTGTTTTTCCTCTAACTTAAAAGCAGAACCACTAACACCTAAGGCATCAGCAGAGTGACGCTTAATCTTCCGAAGGGTCCTTTCTGTGTTGTATGAATCAACCTACACCAGTTCCATTTATAATAAAGATGAGCTAAAACAGAGCAGAACGGCAGTCTTATATTATGCAATTAATGATAAAAGCAATCTAGGATTATTCTTATACAATTCTAACCCTAGGTTAGCCCACTAAATAGGATATTATTCTTAATAAATAAAATAAACCTCATGACTAAAATAACCCTGTCTTTAAAAGCAGCAGTAACTAAAAATTATAGCAGGTAAAAGATTAATAATAATAATAATAATAATAACAATAATAATAAATAAATAAACAAACAAAACATTTATCCTCCAAAACCCCCTCAAGCTGGAGAATAAATGTTGATTATTCCCAGTTTGCTGTTCAATTCCTTAGTCAGGATGTTAGCTCCTTGTCCCCCCTTGTGGGAATATACTGCAATTGCACCAACCCTGAATCTAGTTTTCCTTCAAGCGTGTTTGGTTCTGTCATGGTATATAGGATTCTTGGCAATTCCCAAAGAAGCCATGTTATCACGTCAAAGTTTCAATGATTGGTTTGACAACAATTTGCCAACACCCCTGTTATCCATACGCCTTCACATGTACCATGTGCCATGGCACACTACTCTGACTCTGCACTGCTTCTAGACACTAATGATTGTTTTTTACTTCTCCAAATGACCAAGTTTCCCCATGCATAAGTTCAATAACCAGTAGTTGATCATCATAATCTGCATTGATATATATTTCAACTTTTCAATCATTCCCTTTAGCAAAGAACAATCCTTTACCCAGGGTCATTTTCTTTGATACCATAGTATTCTATAAAGCAGCTGCATGTGTTTCTCCAATGGGTTACTCGAGAATTGACTTGCTATGCCCTCTGGGAAGCTTATATTAGGGCAAGTATGGGATAGATATCATTTTCCTTACTAGCCTTTTGTACCTTTTTTGCATCAACAAGAGTATGCCCTTTTCTTGTTCTTGCAACCTCCATTCCAGGCAAGTATCTCAATGTCTAGATCCTTAACTTCAAATTTCATAGCTAGCATTCTCTTAGGGTCATTAGTAACCCTTTTATCATTCCCAATTATTATGATGTCATCCACATACACTATCAAAATCAAAATTTTCCTTTTGCCTCCATGCCAAACATTGTGTGGTCTTTCTGACACTGCAAGTATCCAACCCTTTCCACAACCCCCAACAAATAGGTCGAACCATACCTTAGGTGACTGTTTAAGTCCATGCAATGACTTGTGAAGTCTAAGTACCTCATTGGCATTACCTCAAGTTGCAATCCAGCAGGTATCTCCCCATTCTTCACTTAGTTCCCCATTCAAGAAAGCATTTTTTATATCTAGCTGATACAGAGGCCAATCCACGTTTGCAGCTAGTGATAGTAGAATCTTGATAGTGTTAAACTTTGCCACTGGAACAAAAGTCTCTTGATAATCCATGCCACAGGTCTAAGTGAATCCCCTTGCCACCAGTCTCACCTTGTATTTGTTTGTGCTACTACCTCAGTTATGCTTGATCGTGAACACCCATTTGCACCCTACATTGATTTTCCAGGAGGCAAATCACACATCTTCCGGGTTTTATTCTTCTCAAGTGCATCTAAAACCTCTTGAATAGCCTCTCTCCACTTCGGATGTTTAATAGCTTCTTGGAAGGAGACAAATATTTTCCCTTCTAACAATTGCAACAAACAACTATAACTTGGAAAACTACTAGTCGTAAGAGACAAAATTATTAATAGGATGAAGGGGGCATGATCTTACCCCTTTTCTTAAGGCAATTGGCTTATCCAACTCCTAAGAATCTGAATCCAAGTCTGATTCTTGACTTTGCTGAGAAGATTGAATGGGTTCTTCTTCCTCTTCCTTGTCCTCTAACTGATTCTCTTCTTTCTGCTGCACCTGCTCCCCATTCTTGGTACGTTTTACATACTGTTTCAGACATGATTTAGCTTTACCAGCAACCTTTTTTGTTACCCTTATTCCCTTTGTCACCATTGCAATCATTTCAGTGCAGGTATGGTCTGATCTGGGAAGGTTCTGGTTCAGTTTCAGGGATGTTATGGGACATTTCTGCATCCGGTTCAGGTCTTTCCAAGACTGGTTCAGATCCGTCTAGGGAACTTTCTGGGTTCATTTCACTCAAATTGGTTTTGGCTCAAGATCAGGGCTAGGGTTAGGTATTAGTTCATCTAAAGATCTCCATTCCTCATGTATACTCTCCCCCTGAATGGGCATTTTGGACTAGAAAGGGTGGTTCTTAAAAAAGGTAACATTCATGGAAGCAAAGCATTTTTGTAACCGAAGTGAATAGCACATGTAACCCTTTCAAGACGAACTATAGCCCAGGAAAATGCACTTAAAGGCGAGAGAATCAAATTTTCCCTCATGGTCATTATGAACAAAGGCTGTGCAGCCAAATATTTTTTGTGGAAAGGTGGATATGATATGCATTGGGTAAGTTTCAGCAAGTATTGTGATAGGACAAGTGAAGTTTAAAGTTTTAGAAGGTACTATGTTCACAAGAAATGCAGCAATAAGGATAGCATCGCCCCAAAAATTATTAGGAACATTTCTAGTAAACATTATTTTGCTAGCTACTTCAAAAAGGTGCCTACTTTTCCATTCAGCCACACCACTTTATCATGGGATATTGACACATGTTTGATGGTGAATGCCATTTGAATTAAGGAATCGTTTTAAGGAAGAACTGATTTATTCTTGGCTATTATCACTCTAAAAGATCTTGATGTTTGTTTGAAATTGATTTTGAATGAACTTATGGGAGTTGATGAAGGTTGGAACAACATTTGATTTGTCTTTGAGGAGAAAAACCCAAGTAATTCTATGATGGTCATCAATGAAGGTTGTAAACCAACATGCCCCAGACATGGTTTTAATTTTGGAAGTGCCCCCATAAATAAGTGTATAACAGTGAATGGTTGTCTAAGTTGATGAGGATGAGAAGGATACAAGGCTCATGTATGTTTGGACAATTGGCAACATTCACAGTGAAAGAATAAAGAATTTTTATTCATTGAATTTGGTGACAAATATTTCAAATGTTGACTACCAGGATGCCCTAACCTATAATGCCTTAGAATTACATCATCAAGTGAAGAAAAATGAGAAAAACTCTTTATTTTCTGTCCTTCAAGGAAATACAACCCATCAACCTCCTCAGCATTGCCAATCCTCTTCCGAGCCTAAATCCTAGAAACATATCCAAAAGAGAACCTAACATCAGAAGTTGCTTTTTTTACATGTCTACTAACAGAAAAAAAACATTAAGAGCTGGAACATATAACACACTCTGCAGTACAATATACTTATTTATAGTGACCAAACCAATTCCATGGACCAGTTAGACTGGCCATTAGCAACAATAACATTGAGATTTGAGACCACTGTCAACTAAATCTGTTACCAGTCATATGGCCATTTGCCCCCAAGTCAACAACCCAAATATTTGGATTTTCAACCTTCACAGAAAGAGCTCTAGGATATATACCTGTATTAACCAAATTTGCCATTTGCAATCCAAACTGCATTACTTGTTTGATCTTGAAAGTCATACTTCTGAAGCATCTTTCACAATAATTCAATGTCATCTTTGCTATATATTCCTTGCTGTACAGCTGCCTTCTCTTCACTAGTTGCTGAAAAACCTTCAGCATCATTTTTCTACTTAAATTTAGAGGAGAATGGCTAACTATGGAACTTCCAACAATTATCACGAGTGTGGCCACTCTGATTACAGTGATCACACAACCCTTTTCCTTGCTTCTTACCCCTTGAGTCAGTACTTTGACTATTTCTAGCCACCAAGGCTAAACTCTCAGATGATTGATGAGGTGGTGTGAGTTGAGTCAATGGCTTGCAACTTTCTTCCCACTTTATGATTTTGAAGACTACCTCGAGCAATGGAAGTGGACGGATTTCCATATGGAATTGAGACCCAACAGAAATTCATAGGCATGTTCACGCTCAACAATATGTCTATAGTGTCACATCATGTGCGCGCTTCCAATCACGAGGATTAAACATATCAAGTTTTTGCCAATATTTCATTAGTGTGTTAAAATTTTGGGTCATGATCAGGTCACCCTATTAAAGCTCACACAAGACTCCTCGAATCTGAAACAAAGCAGTGGTGTTCTCCATACTCAAGAAGCATTTGGCCCCATCACAAATTCGCTTTGTTGTTGCATAGAGGAAAAACATCTCATTGATATCAATGGTCATTGATTGGATGAGCCAAGCCATCATGAGATTGTAGCTGAAAACCCAAGAATCATAAGCTTTGTCATCTGCACTTTGCTATGCCACTTTGCTTGTTAGGAATTTTTCTTTTCTTCCATGCACAAACATCAACATGTTTTGGCTCCATTGGAGGTAATCATTCTCGTTGAGACAATGGGTAAACGTTGACCCATGCTTCACGCGTAGGATAGTTGACATCTACGAAGCTAGGCTTGCCCTCCTTGAGCTTGTGGAACTAGAGGAGGCATCCATTGCTCCAAGCATTTTAATGTGTTCATCCTTCACAACAATAAACATTGCTCCGGTACCATGACCAAAAACAGAGCAAAACGGCAATCTTGTATTATGCAATTAATGAGAAAGATATCAAGGGTTATCGATGGAAATTATATTTGATTGGAGTTACAATTTATTAAGACTTGATTTAAGGTTTATTAAGATTTTATTTGGTATCTGGGGTTTAATATTATTTCTTTAGCATCTTGAATTTATTTTATCTTTGTGTTATCTCAAATAAAAAAAAAGATATCTAGACTAGCTAGATACCTTATTGTCATCTTTTAAATTATGATTTGATTTAGATCTAAATTTATTATTATTTTTATTATTTCTAGGTCTCTAGAAATAGCCCCAGGGTTTCTCATTTGTATTCAGTTTTGGCATTTAAATAAGAATTATACAATTTTCTCTTCCTCTTTTCCCTCTTCTCCTCTCTTCTTTCCTGTTTCACATTAATTGTTTCAAAAACCAAGTTCCACCTCCCCTCCCTGCTTATAAATTCCACTCTCAGCACGTGCTTCACATGCCTATCACTCCCAATTCGTCCAGACTGAATTCTTGATGTTTTCCAGCCCCATTTCATGCCGTTTTCTTTTCACCCTAGATCTTCTCAAAGCTACAAATCACCTCACGAGACCATTGAAGTAAATATTCTTATTTATCAACCTCCTCAAGTCACGCTAGTAAGGCCCAATTAACCTGTATTTCTTTACTACGACTTTTAGCATTTTTGGAGGTTTAATCTAAATATTTTATCTATTTTTAGAATCTTTTATCTAACTATTTTGTAATCCAAATTTGGTTTAGTGCAAAAAAAGGACAAAGAAAGAGGGAAAAGCAAACAGCCAAAAAAAAAAAAAAAAGAGGAAAAAAGAAGATACATGTATGTGAGCAATTCCTTTATTTTGTTCTCCATTTAGTAACTTTATATTTTCATTACTCTTTATTGATTTACACCTACTCCACATTATAGGATCACACATATTCCTCACACCCCTTCGGCCTCATATCCAAGCCAACTTTTATCCTAGATTAGTTGAAGTTTGTAATGGTTTTTCTAAAGAGTTTTTAAACCCTCTGAGATCATAGTAAAAACTTTACTCAAGTTGTTACTTATTTAATGAGTGATTCTTGAAAAGCTTTTAAGTTCCCATAAGATTAGACTTATTAAAGAAGGTAAAGAACTTTTTGATAAGGGCAACTTGGGAGGCCTTTATCCTTTAGGGAAAAACCACCTTAAATTTGCATGTTAGTCTACTCTTACTCTTGCATGACCATTTGTGACCTTTACAACAATCAAGCCTTCCTTGAACAAGAACATAATTCCATTGCACCCCGACTTGACTTCCTTGATCTCAAATAGACCTAAATAAATACACCCATCAACTTTCCACTAAGGACCATACCAAGATATTCACTAACTTTGCTAAAAGGCTTGACGGCAAAGACCGAACTCTTGTGGCACTTCAGCACGGCTCTCAATGCAAAAAATCAGCAACTATAGGATGCCTTTCAAGAAATAAATAGAAGAACAAATGGAAAGTATGTAGAAGGATTAATGAACAACCCTAATGATAGGGGTCAAACACACACTAGGAATGTTGATACAAGACTCGCAATTACGATCACTCATCAATCCTTCACAAGTCCTAGCAACCCCAACACTATACCACCTCACAGTGTAACTAATCCCCAACCCTTTGAGGAAGTAAAAGTCCCTTGGGATGAACAATACAAGGATGAGCTCAGCGATATGAATCGCCACCAAGGAATCGATATAGAACCTCACCCTATAGACATAACCGACAAACCTTTCAACATGAATATCATGATGATGCCACAAGGAGGGTCATGGTAGAAGCACCCAATTTTTATGGTAGACTAAATCCAAGGGCCTTCTTAATTAGTTAGCTATTATGGATGACCACTTTGATTGGTATAACATGAGTGACATGCAGCGTATTCGCTTCACAATAATGAAGCTTATAGGAACCGCCAAGAAATATTGGCAAAATGTTCAAGAGAACTTAGAACACCTAGGTCAATCTCCTATACGCACTTGAGCTAAGATGAAGCTGAAACTAAAGAGAAGTATGTTCCAACCAACAATAAGAGCAAACTATACAATCAACTACTTAAACCTTAGGCAAACTTCCATGGCATCTGAGTATGCGTCCCAATAAGATGACCTCCTTATCAGGAATAATGTGTCTAAGCCCTCTTGGATAACTATCGAAAAGTTTGTTAACAGCCTCAGACTCGACATCCAATGAGAATTTAGGAAAGAAATTCTAGCAATATGTTCTTACGAACAACATCACAAAATCTTTTAGTTGGACACCTCAAAAGTAACTCTATCTAACACAACCCAATATCCAACTCCAACTTCAACAAATCAATCCTCCAAAATTTAGCATGGAAATTCTAAAACATAAAATTTGCTAATCCAAATACGCAAATAAACCTCAAGGTTATATGATGTGACCGTGAGATATGGAAGCTTGGTTCTATTAGATACTTTAGAGCAGAGCTCTCTCATTATATCTGTATTGAAGATCACAAATGTTGGATTAAAATTGCAAAAATTTCATGAGCTTTCATAAAAATTTGACACCATTGGGATTCAGCATTTAAGTATTTAACAGAACAATGGTTATGACTTCAATGCCAACTCAAGAGCTAAGAACTCATGTGCCAAACATAGAAAACTTACAGCACTTTTTATCTTGGTTGTAATATCACCAGCTTTCACATGAGCAAGTTGCAAACAATGCATGATCACCCGTTGAAAGATTCCTTCCCCTCCAGCCTTTTGAACCGCACAAACATCACCATTAGCATTTAGTGTAGCAGTCATTCGGCCAGTTATCACAGACTCTTCATGGTGGGTTGGGTCTATCACCTAGAAAGCACAATTTAAAAGTAGATATAAATTGTCCATTAAATGAGCCTTGAGAGATGCATACATAACTGGGAAAAAATATTATACCATAATGTTGTCATTACTGAAAAATCCAAAGGTCACGGCGATTGGAAGATGATGTACAATCAAAGGAAGTGGCTCCCGAACCTGTCAATTAATTCTCATAAATACAGCAAAAGCATCAAAAGAGGGGATATAATTGGTAATTATTCATAAAACATTAGCCTCCTTAAGCAAACATGCTATATTTTATTGGAATCCAACTCCATCAAGTAATGGAGGATCAAACTAAAATAAAAAATATACTATTAATTATTGGTAAGTGAGTTAGGAATTATAGATAAGTATAGGAAATAGGATTTTAAATAAGAATTTGATAACTTTGATTAAGAATTGAGTAGGATTTAAACTAACACAGTTTGTGCTTTTTGGTTTATTTAAATTATGTTTTCTTTTATTAATTTATTAGGAATTTATAAATTTAAGTGGACAAAAGGATTGAAATATTTCGTCAATGTTTCCCTACTATTTTGAATTTTTTAAATTCATCCTTCGGAATCCATGTAAGGTGCTTACAAGTTAGGCATAAGCATTATCATTTCTAAAGTTCTACTAGTTCTGTCTCCTTTCTTCTATATCTACCACCCTCTCTTCTCTTCCACCATATTTCTCCTCTCATTTTCTTCACGCGTGCCATTGGTACTACATCCTTAAGCTTTTCGTTTCCACTGTGAATGAATCAGGACGATATAAGAGCTCGCCATAAGAAAGAGTAGCCAAAAAAATTAGTCAAGGTTTATACAAGGTGTACTTCAAACTGCAAAATCAAACGAGTTGGCCAAAAAAAGAAAAACAAAACAAATGGAACCTCACTAAACAATACTTAAGAGTCATGGATTGCCGCAAGATCATAATGCACTTCCATGGTGAAACTTCCCCACAAGCTAAGAATTTTTTTTTTTTAATGATATTTCCCATTAAAATGACAAATAAGAAAAAAGGAAGGCTGTTAAATTTTCCAACCAGCAAATGTTTACTCTTAAAATAAAGCCAACCTCAGGTGGATGCACAACAACTTGCTGACCATCCTCTCCTCCTAATGTGCATTCAGGCCTCCGAAATGTCAAGAGAGCAGACAAAGCAGCAATGTTGGCAGCATCAACAAGGTTTCTATTCCCAACAAAAGAATTGTACATATTAGCATTAGCAACTCCAAACAGTTGGAAATAAACTCAGTTGAGCTGATTCAGTTAAACTGCTAACATGTAAAATAAGAAAAAGGGGAGAAACAATGCCGACAACATACAAACAAAATTAAAACACAGCTCACCCTCCATTGTCTAATATATGGATATCAATTCGAATGGCCCACACCAGCTTTCCAGAAAGAACACACAGTGATTCAGTGTCTACAGCTCTGCTTTCCCTGCAGATTCACTTTGAATCTTCAAATAAATTTATGTAAACGAATAAGAACAGACAATGATTTATAATTTAAACAGAAAAGGAGTTCATTTCTCCACATAAGCTTCCACATCAGCAAAAATTGAACGAAACACCATCTTATTCATTAACAAGACTACCATCTGAAACAAATCAAATCCTCCTTGCACAATTTCTAAATGAGATTACACTAGATATATTGAACACCAAAAGGTGAGAACCTACGAAAACCAAAATCACCTTAAACCACGGTCTATAATTCGCCCCAACTCAACAGCAAATTCTCCAGGACGACCTGGTTCATATGAAGGATCAGCCATGGGAGAGAACTCTGTGTAGATCAAAAGTGTGCCTTCATTAGGCCTGTCTCTGTAAGGCTGAACAAGCTGAGCTGTTACGAAAGCCATCACATGGGTCTGCCCTAGTTGCACCTCAGATGCACCATCCTCTCTGCATTACACCACAAAAACATTTAGAAGCAAGGAAAGAAGGGGGGGCATATGACCAGCTTTGAACAGAGTAGAGTGTGCAAGGGGAAAGAAATTTAATTGCCTGCCAAACTTGATAGTGAGCTTACGGTAGTCGAAGGGACGGCGACCATCGACTCGAAGCTCCGAAAGCAAAGCCGTTTCAATGAACTTCTTTTCATTTAATGTCAAATGAAAAGCATTAGCCAACCTCTGCTCCATTTCAGTAAACCCTATAAATAAAAATATCAGGAAAAAAATTGAGACAGAAAAGTTGAAGCTGAGTGCATGGAGGTCGATGCGGCGACCGTCGACGCGAGAAAGATGACAGTTTGCGGCGGCACTGTGACGACGGTGTGGATGAAAGAAGAGTCCGACAGAGGAGGATGGTGGACGCAGTGGAACGTGGAGGTCCGACGGACAGGGATGTGGAAGAAGAAGAAGAAGAAGAAGAAGAACGGCGACGAAGGAGGGAGGGCAAGCTGACGAGGCTAGCCGAGCAAGGTGTTTTGGGGATTGTGTTTCATCGAATTACCATAATGCCATTAATGATGTGGTAATATTCAATTGGGAGAATGACAAGTTCGAAAATAATAAATTAACGATGATCGAGTTTTAGACATTATTTTTTAAAAATTTTAATTAAAAATATCGATGTAAATAATTATAAATTTAAAATTTTTAATTATAAATTAGTATTTAAATATTAAATGTAACTATTAAGTTAAAATAAAAATTTTTGTTTGTTACTATTTAAATTGATATTTACAATTCATTTTATGAAAAATTTAGTCACAAACTTAATTGTCATTAATTTAGTATTTTGATACCAAACTATCATTCTCTTTAATTAATATTTCTTCTATTTTTGACTCTTTTTCTCTTTAAATTAGTCCTTTTATTTGTAAACTTTTAAACAAGTTAGTCTCTTGTCCCTTGTTTTTAAGAAACAATGAAAGAGACCTCCTTAAGAGATAAATTATATCTAAGAATCAATGCAAATTGAAAGACCAAGCTGAATATTTTATTTATTAAATAATATAAATAAATGATTAAAATATTCTTATGTTAATTAAAAAAAATTAAAAAAGGGCACAAAATCCTGCCACCAACATAATAACCCAAAAAAAATTAAAATTAAATTAATTAAAAATTTATGATAAGATAAAACGTATTTTTATTTTCTATGTTGGAACAGACCTACATGATTATATTAGATGTCCAATGGAGCTTTGCCTACATACTATCATGAGGTTTTGGATTCGAAACTTCCTATTGCCTCAAGAAGCATTTTAATTTCTATTTCAGCTTCTTGAAATTACTGTTATGCCTTTTAAAAGAAAACAAACACCAAATCCACATCAAATATTTTTGTCACTTTCTATTTCTTTCCGTCGTGTTTATCCTTCTTGATTCAATTGAGAGAGAGTGAACTTGTGAGAAAACCCACATCTGTCTTCTTCAGTCTTCCTTCTCCATTTTTTCTCTTACCATTCAACTTGTTGCTGGTGACAAGTTGAACAGTAAGAAGTTTGTTTGAGTGGTCGATTTTCCCCTTATATCTTACCTTTAGTCTTCCTTTCTTCTTCCCTCTTTGTTTGTTGCAGTAGCACTGCAGCCATAGGCTTTTGCCTTCCTTATTCGAGCCATCTTTGTCCTATTGCCTAAGCTTATTCTTTCATTTTCCCTTCCTCTGGTTTGATGTGGTTTTGAGCATGATTGAAACCTTTCTTTCTTCTTCTTTTTATGATGGTCCTCGGTATGTGTTATTTGGGTTGTTGCAAATTGGAAATTTTCTATTCTTGTTTGATATGCATGAATAAGAGTATATTTGGGATTTAATCAAGTTGGAATTAAGCTTTTATTTATAAGAGTACATATTGGTAGATAATTGTACTTGAGTCTTTAAGAGGAGGAGGGTAGGTAGAGAATCAATTTGCTTGAACTTAAATTGGTTTTTGATGGAAGATTAGATAGGATATAACCAAAGCTAGAACTTAACTTTAAGGGCATTTTTATAGGTGAATTCATGTATGTATTGGTTACTATAAAGGGAAGAATTTAAATATGATTTCTTTGAGTTTAAAATTAATTCTTGATGGGAAGTTGATTTGAAAAGTATAATATGGAAGTTAGAATGGTTGGGCAACATATTGAAGGTTTATGAACTTGATTTGGAAGTTTATGCATGTTAGGAGATTGTAAAAATATCTAAAAGAAGATTTTGATCTAATTAAATAACTGGTTTAGTTTTTTTTCAAAAAAAAAGTGGAACTTGGAGATATAAATGATGGTAAAAGGTGAACATTGACTTATTTAAGTGGCGGAGAATTTATTTAATTTTACGGGAAGTCTATTAAAAAAATTTATATGTATATATTTTTGTTAGGGTCTTTAGAAGAAGGGAAAGTTGACCAAAGTTGTGAGTAGAAAATTTAGAATTTAGTGGCATATTAGATAAGTAAATAGCATTCCTCAATAATTAAAAGTGATGATTTTCTCTTATTTTATTTTTTTCTTATTCAAAATAAATTTTCTTAATATACCTAATGATTAAATTGATTTAAAATATATAAATATCTTATTTATTATTTGTATTTATTTATTTATGCAATTATTCTCATGATATTTTATTTTCTTAAAAGTATTATATATGTAAAGACTGTATAAATTACTAATGAAAAGATCATTTATACCTTACAAATTAAAAGACAATTTCAATTACAAGGACTTTCAGACTCCATACATGCCAAAAATGTTTTGTAGGACTGAATATAGAATACTAGTTGCTAACAATAGTTTCATTAGCCCTTAGCGCATAATGGCACACCTAGCTAGCTAGGTACATGGAAGATGTTAGTCTCGTGTGTTGACCAACACATGTGGAAGGGAGAATGTGATTTTGTATATATGATCCATGCCTGTTATTTGTGAGTTTTATGTTTACACCTATATTTTATGGCTTCTTGCCACAACGAATATGATATTTACCTTCGTGGACTGTGTATCCACGCTTGATATTCATTTTATTTTTCAAAATATAATTTTTGGTCTTTTTATTGTGATAGACCCTTTTCTAGGGGATGAGCATTCAGTCAGTTCGATTCCAATTTCTCTAAAATTGATCAACCGAATTATATAAAAAATTTAAATCGAATCAAATTGAAATATATTATCAAACCAAATTAAAATCAAATTGAATTATAATGGTTCAATTTGATCAATCTATTCAATTCATAAGCTTTGATTTGGGTTTATAGAGTATAATTGTTCAATTTTTTCCTTGATGTCGAAGGTCCAATAAAAAATAGCAATCTTATATTATAATTCATGAGAAAATTAATAAAACTCAATATTGTTGCATTAAAAACTAAATTATAGAAATAAAAAATTAAAACATTACATTAAACAAAAAAAATACTACTATTATAAGTGGTAGAAAGATGTTTTTTACTCACCTAGATGAGAATTTATTCATATTTTAAAAAATATGAAAGAAAAAAAAAATATATATATATATATATAATTTGGTCGGTTCGATTTATTTGGTTTAAGAATTTCCAGACCAAATTTAACCAATCAACCAAAATTTTTCTTAAAAGAGAACTGAATCAAATTGAAAAACCGAATAGACTGAATCAAATAGATAAAATTTGGTTTGATTTTTGGTTACAATTTGGTTTTGCTCACCCCTACCCTTCTCTACGTAGGCATTTTAAAAGATAATTTTTGCTTTAATTACCATGGTAGATTTTAATAATTATGGTTGTGAAAATAGAGTGTTACATCTAGAGCAAGTAATAAAGGTCTAGTGGCCAACAACAGTGACGGTTTGAAGAGACATTTTTTAAAATAATAAATATATTATGGTAAATAAAAAGGGAAAATCACAATTAAAGATCTTTGTAGCATCATATTTGCAAAAAAAAAACTAAAAGAAACGACTAAAGGATTCTGAAATCATTATGTAAGAACAAAAGACTAAAAAATGTAATTAATGTTCATTATGAAATTACAAAAATACTGAGTGATGTGCCCAAGACAGCCTTTCATATTGTAAGCTCCAGCTTATTAATTACCTTACACCACACACCCTTCCAAAAAATAAAAAATCAATTAAAAAGGTATCTCAATTCTAAAAAAATTATAAACCGCCTATTTAATTAAAGAATAATAAAATTTGACTAATTAGAATTTAGAGGATGGTTAAAGGGAATTAATGGACATTTAAGCTTGTGTATAGCCTGAGGATTAGATATGAAATCGAGTTTAGGCCAAATATCCCCAAAGAGGGAGAAAAATAGTGAAGCATGGATCTATGTCACATGCTGCGGCATGGACATCATCTTATATGGCACAAAATGATGGACTAAAGAGGGAGGGACTCCCTATGCCTTCCATCACAATATGGACAACATCTACAGCAATGCAATAGTCCTTTAGCAAGGTTGTGGCACTCTGTGCCACACGCTGTGGTGCAAGTAGAATGCGAGACGGCTCATGGCCCAATTGTGCCACATGCCATAAGGCGCAATTAGAATTTTAGTTTATCAAATACGAGTCTAATACAAAAATAAGAGAAAAGAGAAAGAGTTTGAATAAGAGAGAAGGAGAAGACTAAAGGAGCTCTGCTAAGGCTTGGGATTTTGAAGCATTGGGAGTGTTTTGAAGCTTATAAGCACTAGAGGTGAGTTTCTAAGCATTAATCTTCTTTTGTCTTCCATTTTTCTTGAGTTTGGTAATTAGGGTTTGCTAAGGAAGTTAATTTTTTAGACTTATGGAGCTATGGGTCCAAACCCATTAATTGAAATAAAGTTAATGGGAGTTGTTTATGTACTTGAACCTAGTATTTATAACTTTATGGGTTTTGGTGGTTGGAGTGTTGAACGCTGGTTTTGATGATTACAAAATAAAGAGAAGTTTTGTGCATTTTAGGATTTTTTTAATTTGAACCTAAGTTAATTGGCTTAACGTTAATCAAATCTGACGAAGTGTAAGTTTATACATAACAGAAGGTATGCTATCTTGTTAGTTATGTATTTGACTTAACTATAATCTTTGTGCTTGAAGTTGTCTTGTTCTAAAGTGTTTCTAAGTATTATTAGCGCCGGTATTGGAAGTTTTAATACTGGTGCTACTTTAATTATCTTTACTATTCTATTGATTCATGTTTCATATAATAGCGGTCCTACTTATTCTAACACCGTTGTTATCCCTTTAAACCTGTACAATTGATTCTCTCTTATTTGAACCTTTTTTCTTGCACTGCTACTATTTATTTAACATCGGTTTTATTCTTTCCATATTCTTATTTAAATTAAGACAACACCTATGTTACTTCGTTAGCACCTGTACTAACTTTTGTAAAAGTTTCTGAACATCTGTGCTAACACTTCAACACCAGTATTGTCCCTTCTTTTCTCTTACGAAGAGGTTTGATTGATCATGTTACTTCGGTGTTATTTCCTTCTAACACTAGTACTGTGTAATCTTT